AATTATGCACTCTTGTTATCGTTCTTGATATTTGTAGAATTTGAAAGTCTCGTACAAAGAAACCATGCTGAAAAAATATTTGCAGGAAGGATGATTATATCTCCCAATCACCAAGGCTCCAAAATGCCACGACAATCATACCTGTATAGTTTAAAACATATTTACGCTACATTAAGTTTATGGATCTGGGACTTATCTGGAAAGAAAGGCATCTTATTGTTCTCTTATTGTATTTGACAACATTTGTTATATCTCGTGAAAGAGTATAGCAATCTGGTGGACAGTTGCCGTAAAATGTTATGCTTGTATTACGGATTCATGTGATGTCATTTACCTGTGATGTCACAATTGATCTTGTTCACGTTTTCGATGGAGGTCATAAGATACATACAAATGCTGTAACTCATTTTCTTTATTTTCTAGTAATGTTTCGACGGTAATGATAAATACGATACCGTTTTTACGCCCAGTGAAACTAAATTTGCACAAAGAAACTGATCTTTCTCTGGCGTTTTCGTTACAATGCTATGTCACTGTGTTTATTGCACCATGTTATGGATAAGCCATTTGGTATCCCTGGGTGTCTTGTTGAACACAGTATGTTTCTGTTCATTTTTAAAACAAATGCTACTTTGTAAGAACAAGTAAATAAATCATTAATTTTCTTTCTTCAAAAAGATGGGGTGAAATCAGTCATTGTCTCCCTCCAGAAGACTATTTCTAAATCGTTCCTTAAACTACAGTCGTTCTCTGTACACATTCTATATCTCTCTGCATTAGGTAAATGTATTTTATACATAAAGTCAGCGAAAGTTTTACTGATAGTCGTTCAGTTTGCCATTGCAATTCTGCAGAGTAAAGTAGGGCCAGAAATGCTTGGAAAATGCTTTTTGGCAATTATTTGATAATGGTTGATATTCGAGATTCAAAATTCATATATAATCATTCATACCACCTCGACCTAATATGGCATATGAGTAATCACGATGTACCATTCCCTAATCATAATGATTACTCGTAAAATATCGAAAAACTCCATGGTAGAAACACTTCTAAGAAACAAACGATACTGTGACCCACCTGGCAGGCAGACAGGGTGACAGCGTTCATGTAACGCATGGGCAGTACATGTCAGGGACCGTCTCAAAATATTAAGTGTCAGTATCACTTCTGGTCAAGGATTCTAGCGGAATTACAACAGGTGCAACTCGGCTGACGTTAACGCCGTCCCGCATTCGGTAGTCGTCCTCGATTTTGAGAACACGGTCTTCAGCCTTTTGCCACACTTCTGGGGTAATTCTCGCAAAAGAAACATACACAAGCTCTTTAACGTCTGAAAGCTTGAATGTGGTATTATTGCGAGCAATAAAATTCTTACAGTTACCCAAGATCGGCTCGATGGGTTTGTAACTCACAGTGCCGTACTGGTGTACGCAGAACTATGTGACCTTGTTTTGCAGCTAGTTCGTCAATGATGTACTTGATTGGCTTTTTGTACTGCCGGATTTGTTCCATGAGCTGGGGCTTTGTTTCTGATTGCCTGTAAGGCACGTTACAGGAAGTGAGAAAATCCTGCAAATGAGCCTTGAGATTGCTCATAGTGGGTGTGATGGTACCAGGGACAGGCAGGTTATGGTAACTGGTGTTATCCAAAATAATAACGCTTAGTTCGTCCAGCTGCGGTAAAAGTTGATGTTCGAACCAATCCAAAAATACCTGCCCATTCATTTCGCTATGGTAGTCACCATCAGATTTCTTGGCCTTAAAAACAAAGTCACAACCCCCAATCAGTCCCTTGCTACGGGTACCAGTATGCAAGATGATCAGGCGTCTATCTTTGCCTGATGGTAACACTCGTGCCTTAAAACAATCTGAAGGAAGCCTTTTCCGATCGGTTGAGTGATTTTAATTTGAAACCCCAAATTGCAGTATTCTTCAACTGTTCTGAGATAAGCTGATCGCATGGACAGGATTGAGTACTTTTCTCTAAAAACATCTCTGTCATCTCCCCTTTTGGTGTACCTGAACCCCATTTCTACCAGAGCTACAAAAAGTGTTGTTTTCGAATCATGTATTGTATCTTTGATCTCATCTTGTATTTTAGCACACGTCAGTGGGATTTTGCGTTCATACAGTTTATAAACTACACGGCGTTTGACACCCTTATCAAAGCTATCCAGTTTGTGTTTCCTACCTGGTTTTGATTTCAAAACTACAGTTTGTACTTAGAATATTTACAAATGTTGTTAAAACGTCAACCTTTCCTCCTGTGAAGTCACCCCTCAGGTGCATTTTTTCAACTGAGCTTTAATATCCAACTAGGTAGAGTCGTACATGTATCATATATGTGCTTTTATCTTGTGTCAAATTCATCATATTGATATTGAAGCCAAAAAGCATTTTCAAAGCATTTCCGGCAGTATGCATCTAATCTATGAGGTACATCAGCGTACAATGCGCCAAGACTCACCCGAATTCCTGTTTCCGGTCAATGTGCAATGTGTCTAGGACATGATCTTTCTGAAGTTAATCTATTTTGTTTCCTGCATTCTTTTATTATTAGCTCATGCTTGTTGAGTTTGGGGCTCTGCTTATTCATTATTTAGTCATTATTTTGTGATTGTGTCGAAGCAAGAACACCTCAAAGCACTTCTGATAGTCACGGTATATTCGACACAATCTTTCAGTATATCTGGGTTTTTTTAACCTCAGTACCAAATATGTTTATTTTATTGCACCTACAACTTCTCACCTTCGTCTATTTGCAAAGCCTGTGATTAATTCAATGCAGTCAGTCTTCGGGCATGGTGAGGTACTAAGTATATTTATGACAGAGAGTTAACGCCTTGGCACGCAACCTCTTCGGGTGCGGTAAATAATCCTGTTGTAATGGAGGTCCTTTCACTCGGTGACAGCTGCCGGTGAACCATCTCCTGTTTCAATGATGTTCAATAACCCAGAAGCCCATGGGAGCTGCCCCATATCACGGAGCTCTGACTAGGATGATTGAGATAAGAGAAAAACCTACAAGGCACGTTTAGCAAGCGTTCAACTCATGAATATGCAAATAAGCAGACTGATTGAGCGTGATGAAAATGAACTATTGGGATCGGGATTTGTTGTGTTTAATCAGTACACATACGGATCAGGTCTGGTGCCTATCTGAACTGTATGGTGATCGAAACAGCGTCCTGTGAAGAAGGCTGCGGTGAGAGGAATATTTCTTCGACCATTGCTTCAAGACCTAAAGGGGCATGGGCCAGTCGTGGAAGGCGCAACATCTCTCTGTTCAAAGTTGCGTTCCTTGTGCACCCGGGAAACGTTTGATTGTGGGTTGAATCACGGGTTGAATCTGCGATTAAAGTTTTAGGTTTGCCAGAATCTTTACCATGTTCGTTGGTTTCACCGCAACAGCCGACTATTGATCAGGCTCGCTGGCTTGGTTGACATATCATAAAATAGCCAAAATCCATGATTCAATGGTGGAAACTAGTAACATGCCACATTTTGGCCACAGTGACTCCAGACAAGATCCTGGAGTTTCCAGAGTGTCCCTAAACTGGAGACTCCAGTGACAATGGCGAAATGACACATTTCAGACCTTTCAGTGAGGCTGAAGTACGTATGTTGACCAGGAGATCAAACCCCACAGCTTGCGCTCTTGACCCGTTGCCTACATGTGTACTTTTAGACGATCTTAATGTTCTTCTCCCAGTACTCACCAGAATCATCAACACACGTCTTGAACACGGTGAAATCCCCGCTGTTATCAAATCTGCGCTAGCAAAACTTCTCTTGAAGAAGCCAAACCTTGATTGCAACGTACTTGGTAATTACATACCTGTATCCAACCTCTCGTATGTTTCAAAGCTCATTGAGCGAGCAGTGAATATGAGGATGTCAGAACATCTCCAGCAACATGACTTGTATGACCATCTTCAGTCAGCCTATCGTGCTCACCACTCCACTAAGACTGCTCTTCTTAAAGTTATAAATGATCTACGACTTGGTTTGGACAACAGCAATATTGGTATCTTAACACTCCTCGATTTAAGTTCAGCTTTTGATACAATTGATCACAACATGCTCATTCATCGTCTCAGGTATGATTTTCACATTGATGGCACCGCTCTCTGTTGGTTCAAGCCCTACCTAACCTCCCGCAGTCAGACTGTGCTCATAGATGGACATCACTCTGCTCCAGTCTATCTCAAACATGGTGTACCACAGGGATCGGTCCTAGGGCCGGTCTTCTTCACTTTGTATGTTAAGAAGTTTGGAAGTGTGATTGCTGAATACAACATAGATCATCAATACGCAGATGACGCACAGGTATACAAGTGTTTTCCTGCAGACCAAGAACAGTCATGTAGCGCACTAACAGACACGAGTCACTGCTGTGATGACGTTAAATCCCGGATGACCCACAACAAACTTAAGCTCAACAGCAACAAGACAGAGTGCATTCTACTTGGTCCAAACAAGCAGAGGTCCAAGTGTGGAGTCAACTCACTGGAATTTGACAATTCATGTATCTACTTTGCTGATCAAGTCAAAGACTTGGGCGTGTTCTTAGATTCAATCTTGTCACTTGATCCTCATGTATCTCATCTTGTCAAAACCTGTTTCTTGTCACTACGCAACATTGGACATATTCGCCAATGTCTTACAGTTGAATCTGCCAAGACTCTTGTCACTTGTAATGAGTAAGCTTGATTATTGTAACTGTTTACTGGCCGGTGCATCAAAGACCCATATAGCCAAGCTACAGAGAGTGCAGAACGTCGCCGCCCACATCATGACTTGCTCTGGAAAATATGAACACATTACTCCTATACTGTACACTCTCCACTGGCTTCCAGTCGAGTTCCGGGTCAAGTTTAAACTCTTATGCCTTGTTTTCCGCTGTCTCACTGGAACTGCGCCTTCCTATATATCCAACCTTCTAACTGTGTAGAAGCCTTCCCGATCTCTTCGCTCACAGGATAAGAACGTGCTTGTTGTACCCAAAGTAAAGACAGTGCAGTATGGAAACAGGTCCTTTGTCCACGTAGGATCAATGGCCTGGAACAGTCTCCCACAGAGTATCAGAGACTGTTCTGACTTTCATACTTTTAAATCCAATCTAGAAACACACATGTTCAAGATAGCCTTTGAACTGTAGCTCTTTGCCTTACTTGCATTTTTATTTGTGCGCTTTGATCATGCATAAGCATGGATACAAATGCGCGTTACAAATATGCTATTATTATTATTATTATTCCAATTGTGTAGATCGATGCTCAAATTGTTGATCACTGGACTGTCTGGTCTACATTCGATTATTTACAGACCACCGCCATATATCTGATATATTGCTGAGTATGACATTAAACAACAAACAAACAATAGTTTCACAGCAAAGATGTACATCTGTGGCCTGCATCACGCTTCGTTGTAAGTGGAATACTGTTCAAAGGTTTTTAAACCCAATTCATTCACTCAGTCAATTAAGATGTACGGTGTTATTTTTCAACGAAGGAACCAAATGAATATTCCTTTTTGGTAAACCCCAATAGCGCACATGTGTATGAATTGATCGATCCCCTATCTATTACTTCTTTTTGCCATGTTAATAGAGTTATTTCGACAATAGTTTAGTTTTGTTTCGTGCTTGCACTAAAAGGAGAGTTTTGTAAGAGACTGCACATGTTTTTCGTCTTTACTTGAAAACATACCAAACGTGTTTTTGCAGGAGACCAATGTCCAGTCAAATTCTAACTTAAATACTTTACAAGTGTTTTTGAGGAAAAAAAGATACCTGACATCTGTCTCAGCAACATTCACAGGCAGACAGACCCACATCTCCTTATCAATCTATGCTTGTCCAAGAGGCGACTAATTGATTGAGGTGACCAAGATGATTGGCAAGTTCGTCCACGTTGCTTTTTATATCAATGACGGATTACATTTAAGTGTGACTTATTATGTCGCCACGAATTAAATTTTCCACTACAATATTTACAGAAAGCATTTACTGATAATATCACAGACGTACAAGTATACTGTATTATGATTCTTACAGGACTGTAAGTTTATTGTGCTTGTTCTGTTATTTGAAACTGCTGTTGGAATCAATCTGATCAATATGATGACACTACCGCGGATTGTTATTATACTCTGTTAAAGTCTAGAGTCGCCCGCAGGATCATGTCTGTAGGATAATGGGATTTGCGAGACAGTAAATGTCACCTGGGATCTCCCAAAAACATATTGAAGGTTATATGGCATGAAGGATCCCGAGATCGGTTAATGTACAATTAGGCTGAACGTCACATCACACATCACGGGCGTCTTTTATCATATGTCAATCGATATCACAAATGCTGCATCTTACCTTCTGAATCATCAATCAACACAACTTTTCGGGATGGTTATATAGGAAAGACAGTTCGCTGTTCATACTTGCCCCCTTTCACTGTTGCAGAATACGTCATCCATAGATCCCAAACCATAATTAGCCTTATTAACAACCGTACCCTTTTTTGTGGGTTACACAGAGATAAGTGGCAAGTATTCTTGAGATTTGAAAAGGATCTGTGTCCGATGATGCTTGAGGTCCTCGGGTTTTAAGAACTACCCACATCAAGCTCCCATTCAGGTTTGTACCACCTTTCTAGGTTGCACCACCGTTGAACTACTGTTCAACCTACTTATTCAATAAATATTTGCAAAGATCTAACTTACGATCACTGAAATACATGAGAAAGTTCGTAACAGTTCGTATATTTCCGATCCATTGGGATCCAAGCTACCCGTTGGGTACTGAAGTGTTTAATATCTCTCAGCAAATCGTACGAGCATCCATGAACGCATCAGAACTTTCCCGAAGCACACGGGAAGTATTATTTCAAACTCACGCTGGGACCGTTCATGTAATTTGAAATTAAATCCAGGGTTGGCATGCAGTGTGCATCTCACATGTGTGACGTCTTGTTTACTCTCTTTGTTGTCTTTTTCTTTTATGTGGCCATCCGTGACGATATAGGTGTACGTCTTGTCAAAACGTTTACTCTCTTTGTTGTTGTTTCAAAAACAGTTTTTGAAAATCAAAAGTCTGACACAAGTAAATCGGTTGAGCGTTTCCTTTAAAGCGAGGCACCTTAATGTATTTGCTGTAAATAAGAGTAATGTTAAAAGAAAACAAAGCCATCCTATGAAATAGACGATATAGCTTTGGTCGCATTAGGTATCTAGAACTGGTCTTCATTCCACTCCATGCAACCCATATTTCTCGTAAATCAAAGATTCAAAGGAAGATTTCTGCAAGAATTCCAATCAGAGAGAACCATTTCAATTTCCCTTTTAGCAGCCTCGTTCTGAATAGTTTCTTTTTCAGATGGATGTTTTCAATTTCAGTTTGACAATTGTTAGGACAACCTTTTCAATTAATTCAAAGACGTTGTATTTTTGAGATGAAATTTTCCTACAAGTACCCATTCTGTGTTGATTCTATGAAAACAGGAATTGGGCTCGCTTTGAACATACGATGTCAACATGGTGGGCGAAGAAGGTCCCAGAAGGGTGCATGTTCAACATTTGATTAAACAATACAACTATCGGATCATCCCTTTTTCATAAGCATCAACTGATATACATGAACCCCAATGAACGTTACATTGAGACTGCTATAGTCATCCACCGTTATACAGGCTTTCTTCCTTCCAGGATCAAGCGAATACGTTAAAGGAAAGTGCAACTCAAGCCTACAATGCGTTCGCAAGTCTGGATTGCCACAGCTTTAGAATAAATTAAACCTTGATCTGGGCTCCGTTTGAATTTTGTTTTTCTGTAGATGCCTTTTTAAACAATATTTCTGGTACAAAATGTTAGTTGTGGTTACCCTGGACATATGGTTGTTTTTATTATCTGTGTTTCATGAAGCTCACCTTCGTTAGGTCAATAACTCGCTTTATCTTAAAACACATCGATTAACGCATTCCACAGGAAGTACATGTCCTAGCTGTTCTGTGAAAAAATATCGGATGTTGTAAGAGGTGTACTGCAGTCAGCCTCATTTAATGAAGGACAGATGTAATCGCACACACGCCCACATGTGTTATTTTAAGATAGTCTAACTTTCAATTGCGACATTTCTGTCAAAGAACGAGTGGCTAAACGTGGGCGCTATTTTAACCTTTTGTTGCACTGGCATTCAGTTGAGGAGTGCCATGCAGGAAGTAAATGCTTTCGTTCAATCTCATTATGGAAATGTGTGTTCTTACACCTCATGATTCTGGAGCAATTAGTTCATTTGATGTACAACGGATTCGGCATCAATGCTTAAAGAATGCTATTTCGTTGGCATTGAACTAATATTTCAGATAATACCCTTATTTTGTTTCTTTACTAGTATTAAGTCTCATATATGAAAATATTCAAAATTTGAAATATTTTCTGTTGAATTGTCTGCGGATACATAATAATTAAGGGACCAAAGAATATATCGATTTTACAAAACCGAAGTAATCTAGACCTGCTATAGTATCGACTACTTACTTAGGGGAGGGATGGTTTGCAGGGGATGCTAGAATATTTCTTATGTTTCAGGATCTGCATGCCAGTATACATTTCAACAATCTCAGTCTTCAAATATATTATGTTTACTGGGAGCTTTGAAAGAAAATGGACTGCACGCTGAACCATTGACCGGGGTAATAACACTAGCGGTTTGAGCACGCAATTTCTCTAAAGAGTCCAGGGCAATATGAGTAGGCACATTATTTCTTATTTTTTCATTACCACAAGCCTCGCTTCAAAGGACATAGGTCTTGTTTTTTCTTGATGAAGTTTTAAAACCGTTTGCATTATTTTCCTTTCATGTTTTCCCTCTCTTCGAAAGTATGTTTTCGTGCCCATCAGGTTATTGTGTTGCTCCCCCTGAATTGGTTACACGTGTATTTCATGTTCTCCATTAAACCTAGTGTATCTTACGTTTTAGTAAGTAAATGTAGATGCCTCATTGTTGTCTAGGTTTATGTGCTTTCTGTGGATGTTAGGCATTTAAACTCCTGTCTGACTTTCAGCTTCACGACACCTCTAGTGAATGTATGGAGCACTGGTTATCTGGTTACAACGTTTAAGAGCCTTTTAGTGAGAGAGAACGGGGCCAATCTCCTGTAGCAAAATCATCAGACAAGACAACACCAAAGTGGAAGATATTGTGGCGACATGTTGTTTTAACTGAGGCCAGCGGTGGTTGTAGAAGAGAGAGTGAGTGTTGGTTCGTCTAGGTTCAGGTGGGTGATATAATGAATCGCATTTCAGTCAGTATGCTCCGTCTGAGTTGGATACCCATGCCAAACTGTGGCATGTTACAATAACAAGTGCACGATCCAAACTGTGGCATGGATTCCCAATGAGATAGCACTATAAAACTTGCATCGGTATGGACAAGCGCATACAAACATTCTCTCTGTCCGCGGACGTCACAGTAATCTGGAACACGACGTGGATCATATTTATTATCCATATGGTGAAACATAGCCAGTGTCATGTGTGTCATATGTGCACATATCGCTTTTGCCCAGCAACCATTGTTTCTGTATTTCGTTGTCTGTGACGTCGTTACACAATTGAACGTGACCTCAATGAACAGGGCAGTCACACTTGCTTACCGTGTTTTACTGCACAAATGTACATGAATATAATGGTCAATAACGAAATTATTACACTCACAAGTGTGCCACACACGACTTATACGAAACTCGTACAAAATTTGTGTATACACAATTTCACACTCATTTCGTATAAGTCGTATGACACACTTGCTCGTGTAATAATCTCTATTTATTCTCAAGTCTGTAGTCTTTCAGTCTTGGTCTGTAACTGCAAGGTATTGGCTTACGACAAGGGTGGGTTGATGAAGACAGTGTAATTATAGTCCATTTGTTTCATGCATAAATCTTTTCATGTTGTAAATAACATGTTAAGAGAAATTATTTCAACACTAGCAGATCGTTTCACCAGTGTCCTCCTTGCAGACTCTTACACCAGTCGCAAACACCGGCACGATAATTTCCTGAACAAACAGTGCTCCCACAACATCCATTCATCTTCCGACGTTGCGCCGCAAACGTCATTAAGTAGGTCTCAGGGTATGGAAACATTGAAGTTCTAACTCATAGAAACTGTGAAATATGGGGGCATTATTGGCACAAACCGATGTATAGTTGAAGGGACATTTTTGATATACTCTGATCAGGTTTCGCCTGCGTTTATTCTGCATC